GGTGCTTTTGATGGCCATGATGATGTAGAGATGAGTGATGAATTTGGATTTGATAAAGAAGTTCCTAAAGAAAAAGATAAGATTGAAGTAACATCATGTGTAATTATTGATAATGACAAAAATCAAGAGATGATTGAGCGGTGTAATCGGGTTGATATGAACAGAAGTATTCACAATTTAATTGGTACTTTTGAAGTAGATTCAGATGTTGTGAAAGAAGTTGGAGATAAAGTTGAGAAATTGGGTGTGTGTTTGAAACATTTAAATTATGATCAAAACACACTTCACAGACCTCAGATTGGAGAATCCCGTATCAAAGCATCTCTTTCCTTCTCCTGTAGTACTATTCACAAAAAAAGATGTCTTCTTTGTAACAAATATAAGTGCTTTTATTCAAGAGGAGAAGCTTGTCAGCAACACTTATGGAATGTTTGTGGACGGAATATTCAAATACCTTGTCGTGGATTGCACGACTGTCCAGCAATAACTCCACATTCAAATTTATCTAGCATCCCAGAAAATATGCAACATGTTAGATATATTTGCACTGGTTGCTTGACATCATATGGCGGACATCTACATGCCAGACCAGGTTCTGGGAAAAGATCAGTTTCTTGTGTGCAAAGTGAAAAGCATCATGAAGATTCTACATCTTCTTTAAAACTTATTGCTAAATTTATTAATAACATTGCATTATCAACTGATAATAATGTAAAAAATAATCTATTGAACCTTTTAATCAATGCTATTAAAGATTTCAATGAAATACCTTCAGAAACAACATCATTGGATTCTGCAGTAACAACATCTTCTAACAACCAAATGATTCCAAGTTTTTTCCTTTTAAATGTGATATTTGCACTAAAAAAATTTTCTATAAATGAAGATAGAGAAATAAATCAGCTAAATCCAGATACATTTGAAAATTATGGTAAAAATTTGGCAATTTCAGTTTGGAAATCATATACCATAGTTAAAGAAAATCAAAAATCATTGGAAAATCCAGAGTCTCTTGATGAATACCATAAGGCAATGCCAAAAAATCTCACTTCATTTTTTAGTGGGTTGGTCACTACCTTACAACAAAAAAAATATGAAATAGTTAAAAGAAAAAGAAAACAACGTAAGCTCTTAATGCCAGAATTAAATAACTCCATTATTCAAAAAATCACCACATTTTTTGCATCAGTAGTGTTGACATTTGCTTTTCCTTTTTCAAAGATTTGGTTCACACAAATCATGTCATCACTTTGCCAAAACTCCAAGCTTCTTCCTTATCTTTATTCAATTTTGCAAACAGTCCGAGTTGTATCACATACCAAACATCATGAATCTAGAATTCTCCAAGAACGGATATCAAATATTGTACCAGCATCAAAACTTAAAACTGGACCAAATATTTGGAATCTTGCTGTGGTTGACAATATTGACATCAGTCAACACACGTTTTCTTATGGAAATATCTTTGATGTCACTCTTCACACTTCACATGCAATGCTGAGAACAGTTTTCCAAATTGAGTTTCCAGATCCTGAAACATCATGCCCTACTGATCACATTGAACAGATGTTGCCAGAACCATTATTTGTTGGCAATCAATTCACTAATGAGTGGATTGAAAAATTTAATAATGTATTTTCTACATTATGTGAAGAAAATGGTAAAGATTTTGGAGTAGATAGAATTAATGACTCAATTCAAAAATATATCAAAAGTGGATGTTGTTTACCACCACCAAACATTGTAATTTTGGATGGAGGCCCAGAACCAAATTCCAATCCTAATGTGCATGAATCTTGTGATATGTATCTAAATGATTTTGGTATGTCTGGCACTTTGGATTTAGCCTGTGATCAAGCAATTTATCAGCGATTAAATGATTATTCAAATCCTCATCAATCTTTGAATTGTCTCTTGGGACAATGGCACACAAACAAAGCTATGTGTAATACCCTAATCTCTACATTTTCTGGGTATGGTATATTTGGATTAGCTAAAGCCCTTGGTGCACAGTACTTGGATAAGTTGGAACGGGTGGTAGATTACAGATCAACATTTCGAGTTCTTGAATTAATTTGGGCATCAATTGGAATTGCAGTTAATCTATACAAAAAACAAAATGATGTTAATACTAGAGATATATTGGAAGGTGATAATGATATTCTTAAAGTGTGGATAATGTATTATGAATGGTGTGGGTTATTAAAATTACACAAAATGGGAATAAGGATGGGAAATATGAAATTACAATTAAAAAGCCTAGAAAAATTTGCTCCAATCTTTCCAATTACTGGCAAAAGTCGATATGCTGAATCTGTGTGTAGATTTTTAACTCATGTTAGTAGAAATCCAGCCCTTCAACAACGACTGCAAATTGCTGGTTCAATTAACCTTACCAAGGAGAATCATTTTCTAGGTTATGATGAAGCTCTTGAGATATTTGGTGTCAAATTTGTCAAGCAAAATCTTCCTGGACAAATAAAAAATTCTGATAATTTGAAAGAGCTTATCAAAACAGTACAGTCTGAAAGAGAGTGGATGTTAATGTTACATGATGAATTTGTTGATGAGAGTGTTGTAAGCAGAAGTGCAAGAGCTGCAAATGAACGTAGACAAGATATGTGGATATTAGTTGATGAACTTCTAAAAGTTTTCAAAGATGCTTCACCTCAGAATTCCATTTTGTTCAAAAATACCACCCAATTGACAAAAAAAGGTTATGATCTCATGTTCACATGTTATGAAAAAGGAATAAGTCGTCTTGACAAAATCATTAAACAGGATATTGATTTTTCTGAAACACGAAATACCAAAGGGAGAAGAAGACATGACATACATCAACTGAAGGCAAAAGATCTTGGATCATCAACTTATTATGTAGAGGAAGAAGAGATGCAGGTAGTAGAGATGAATCTAGATCAAGATGATCCTAATGAAATGGTTATAGAACCAGTATTAGAACAATCCTCTCCAATGGATATCAATGAAACTAATATAGAAAGATCAAAAAAACACAGACCTACACCTGAAGAGGAAGCAATTCTTAACACATTAGAAAACTATAAAGATTTTTTGCCTGCTGCTGTTATTGAAGATTTAGTGAACAAACTAAAAATTTATACAAACCATTGGACAAAAAAGAGGATACATGATCGTTGGTATGATAAATATAAAAGAACTAAAAAAAACAACAAATCTTAATATCTTTGAAGTCAAAGTCATTATTATTCAAAAAATATTTATTTTTATTGAATGGAATCAATTAAAAGTTTAAATAATAAATATTTGATTATTGTTTTCTTTTTTGCTAATAAATTTAAATAGATATTATTAGTATTAATTAGTTGGATTATAAATCATAAAAATTAAATTAAAATTAACCAATAATGTCATTATCAGATTCTGATAAGAAATACTAATAAATAAACATCTTTTAATTTCTCATTAAATCCTATATATATATATACACACCTTAACATATATTAATATATAATATAAATAATGATAAATGTTTGATGATAATAATAATTAAATATAATATATTAATGAATAAATACCTTTTAACTTTTCATTACATTCTTGAATATATATATATATACACACATCTTAACATATATATTATATATTAATAATGATATGAATAAATAATAGTAATTAAATATAATATATTAATGAATAAAGTCAGAGATATTAATAAATAAATACCTTTTAATTCCTCATTACACTTCCTGAATATATATATACACACATCTTAACATATATATATTATATATTAATAATGATAAATATTTGATTTATGTTTTGCCAATAAATTTAAATAGATATTATTAGTATTAATATTAGTTGGATTATAAATTGTAAAAATTAAATTAAAAATTAATCAATAGCATCATTATTAGATTCTGCTAAGAAATACTAATAAATAAATACCTTTTAATTTCTCATTAAATCCTAAATATATATATACACACCTTAACATATATTAATATATATTATATAAATAATGATAAATATTTGATAAATAATAATAATTAAATATAATATATTAATTAAAGATATTAATGAATAAATACCTTTTAATTTCTCATTACATTCTTGAATATATATATATACATACATATATATTATATATTAATAATGACAAATATTTGATGAATAAATAATAGTAATTAAATATAATATATTAATGAATAAAGTCAGAGATATTAATAAATAAATACCTTTTAAT